CACAGAGCTCTGGCCCTGTGTACCAGTGTGGACAGAGCTGCCTGTCTACTGGAAGGGTGATGANCGTTAAGATACAGGTTTGTGTGTGTGGGTTTGCGGTATACTGTATGGCCTAGAGAGCCGTCGGGTCTCTTGTAAATATCTATGTCTAGGAAGGGGAGGTGGCCTTCACTTTCGGTTTCCATGGTGAACTGAATGCATGGGTTGATACTGTTTAAGTGGTTCAGGAAACCCTTCAGGTTGTCAGGTCCGTGGGGCCAGATGACGAAGGTGTCGTCCACATATCGAAACCAGCAACGGGGCTTGAGTGGGGCCAAATCCAGCGCTCTCTCCTCGAAGTATTTCATGTAGAAGTTGGCGATGACTGGAGATAGTGGAGAGCCCATGGATACACCGTCAGTCTGTTCGTAGAACTGGCCATCGAAGCTGAAGTAGGATGTTGTTAGGACATGGCGAAAGAGTCTCAAAACATCTTCGGCGAAGTTACCTCCTAGTAGATCCATAGTGTCCTTGATTGGCACTTTGGTGAAAAGCGATACCACATCGAAGCTAAGCATCATATCATAAGGGTTTAATCGGAGGGATTTTATGGTGTGGACAAATTCGGCAGTTTCTCACGTGGTGTGGGGAGTCACAGGTGTAGGAGTTAAGTAGGCCAGCCAAATGTTTGGCCAAGCGATAGGTGGGGAAGCCAATGGTGCTGATAATTGGTCTTAATGGTATGTCAGGTTCGTGTATTTTGGGCAACACATAGAGTCTTGGTGTTCTGGAACATTGTGGTCGTAGTTGTTGGCAGATCTCTTCAGGGAACGGGGACTTCTTTAGGAGAAGCAACGTCTTGCGCTCTATGGAGTCAGTGGGATCCTTTTTCAGCATCCTGTAGGTCTTGTCCTCTAGGAGAGCAGCAATCTTCTGGTTGTAGTCAGAAGTGGCCAAAACCACGGCAGCATTACCTTTGTCGGCCGGAAGTACCGTGAGCGTCTCGTTGGATTTTAAGGCTCGGAGAGCTCTTCTCTCGGCACCAGTGAGGTTGTCCTTGGGTTTGTATGAGCCCTTGAGCATCCTGACTGTCTCCTGTCGAATCTCCTCTGCAGTCTCTTCCGGTAGGGCCATTACAGCCTTTTCAACACCGCACAGGATGTCCTTATCTGGGATAGAACTAGGGGCTACAGCAAAGTTCAGGCCCTTGCTCAGAGCAGAGTAAGCCGCTTCTTCCAAGGGTACATCACTTAGATTGACCACAGTCTTCCTGTTCTCATGAAGTTGGGTTGGATGTTGTGTCTTCTGCAAGTTGGTGAACTTCTTGCACTGTCTGGCTCTAGCTTGGTCACCGATATTAGCAGCTTTCTGGGTTGTGATGCGGTCGATTAGGTCCCAATCATCTGCGGACAGGACACGGGCTAAGAGAAGATGCACCTTAATCAGCTCTCTTGAGACAGCGTCCAGTTCTCGCCTTGTGTAATGGATGCGTTCACGAAGCATAGAGAAGCTGGTGCATCTGTAGATCCTTTTGGCAGCATCAGAGGTTATGAGGTGTTGGAACTGAAGGAAATGAGGTATGATGCCATGGTACCTGCATCTAAGGAGGAAGGGAAGGTTGCGGATTAGCACACACCATATGGCCTTAATCGCTCTCCACTGCTCCTATTGGTCCGTTCTCCCTAACCCCCCCACCTATTTCTTATATAAGCATCGCCTTTCACTTCCTATCACTATAGTTACTGCTCTCTGCATTCCAAGCCATTCAACTGCTCTGAAGATGGAGGCGACACGTTCCTCCGAAACGTCAGCCAAAACGAAGAATACACGGCGCCTAAACCCAGAAGACGAGTTTCTTCATAATCATCGCCGTGAAAACCTCGAAACTTACATGTATAATAATGTTTACTGAAGTGTCTGAATGTGATATGACTTCAAAGACACTTTCAGGTGGAATTAAGGTCTGAAGCTTAGTGTGGGTAAATCTTGGAACTACAAATCATACAGTGTAGACAAGTTTAACGTACAGAATTAAATTATCTCTTTGACTGGCGCGAAGGGTATTTAAATCCCACCCCTGTCCTGGCAGGCCCTTTAAACCTTATGCCGCTAAAATGCATGTAGTTACTTTTTCCTAAACAACTTCAACAAAAATTGGTTTTTAAAAACGAAATTTTTAGGAACTAATTAAAATACAATATTTTATGCAATAAATGCTTTTCCACACCTCTTTATTAGTTTTTCTTCGTGTGATAAACATTGAAACATGAAAGTTTGCAGAGAGCCACACCACAGCCTGCACACATGATACTTGTTTCTTTTCTAACCTTGTGCTTAGCACTCACGCGACACTTTCTCAGGGCACCATTCTTCTTATTGTTACTGTTAGGAACATGGACCATTTTGTGAATTTTCAAGCCACCCTCTAGACGATTTGCTGGCTCTTTCACTGGTGGTCTTTTCAAGGTCGAGGGCGGAGGCGTGACTGCACTCTAGTCTGACCCAATAGATTCGTCATCCACTTCATTCCTTGACTTTTCTCCCTCTCCACACTGTTTGTTTGGTTCAGTCATTTTTCTACACAGTCCAATATAAAATCTTTGAATCTGTAATTTCTCTTCTTGTATTTTTCGTTTGTTGTGTTCTTTTTGAATAGAATGAAACTATTCAACCGCAAAGACATGTTTTGTCCAAACCATGGGTGTGAAATAGGGGCCTAGTGGACAAATATTCTTCAATTTCAGGGCGTTTGTCGATTCCTGTCATGAACACAATTCCTAAGTATGTCCAGATTTCATCTGATGTGACATAATTGTAATTGTGTTTTCGAGAGTGAGGAGCTAACTCATGTGTGTTGAAGTGCTGGTGAGCATAGCGATTGGTTTCAGTTGTGATGTGATTTACCAAGTCGTCATCCAGAAAAAATTTTAATCCATGAAAAGGGATGCATTTTATGTGTTATATCAATTTTGATCCCGAAACTATTAGCAAATGGAAATATTGGGGGTACAATGTCTCCGTACGTTCATGAGATGGGCGTGTCAGGCACCGCACTCGTGGTAGGTAAATGTTCATGATTACTGTCTTGTGGATCATTGTCTATCACTGTATTATTGTCACTATCAACTTCATCCAATTCAGGAATTATTATTTTATCGCCACTATCATCATCAGAAAAAATCTCGTTCACAACATTTTCCAGCTGGTCTGTAGGAACTCGAAGACACTTGCTGCAAGAAGCCATGGTGAAACTGAATGAATGTGAAATATTTTCTGACCTTTACCTTCTCAGAGGGTTCTGACAGTAATATAGACCCCCATAAAGTTTACAAGGGTTCTTTACAAACATGCACAAAAACTATCATATATATGTCTTTGGTTGATGAGTGCCAAGAGAGCAAAGAAGGGACGAGATTGTCAAAGCGTTAAAACACGCCAACGCCAGGGAACGGCTGGCATCGTCCGGGCGTTAAAACACGCCCACGCCAGTCAAAGAGTTATTTATATATTGTAGCAAGCCCGTTACTGGGTAATAGTCTTGAAACAAGCAGCTAAACAACATGTGGTGCTTTGCAACAGATTCACGATAAGCAGCTATACATAACAATTACTGAGTAAAGCCTTCACAAACAAACACGTTCCGATGGAAGTGATTGGAGTACAACACTGAATGGTGTTTCCTATGCAGTCTGTCCCAATATGTCATAACTGGAATGGGTCTGGAAATTTGTCAGAGTTGTAAGGGAGTCTGTTAAGTAGATACTTAGTTGGTGCAGTTGAGAGCAAGCGGGCAATGAAGTGAGCACAGAAGCTGAAGAATTTCCATTATTACAAGGCGTCACCATGAATTGGTTCTGTTGGGCCCTTTACTTTGGTGCCACCTTCCTTCTCTTACCGTCCTTTGGCCCCTTGGTTGCTGGTTGCAGCTGCTCCTCTTGCTGTTCCCTCTCACCTGTTGGTACTCCAAGTTTTCAGGTTGCTGCTGCCTCCTTATTATACAGTTCTGCTTCCCTTTTTGTGATGGTTGCGGATAATTGTTTGCGGGGTATGGGTTACCTTAATGCTGGGCGCCAGTAAGCTTACTATAAAGGCTTACTTTTCAGGAGAAAGGAGAATGAACCGGAAACTACAGGTGATGGGTACAGCATTCGCACTAGAGCGATGAGATTCTGTCTCAGGGTGCATACAGACCTCGCGTCAGCAGAAAGATAAGAGTGTTTATGGCTAGGCACTACCACACACTGTTTAATTAGCAGTTCTTGATATACATGTAACAGCACTTGTTCTTAATCACTTAAAACAACTTGAAATCCCTCAAACACTGGCGACCGGATCCCTGGTTAGTTATTTAGCGACTGCATCTTTTAGCACAACACATAGGAGTAACAATTAATATTTTGCTGGACATTATCCATCATCTTGTCTGTTCTAAAAAACAGTCTAATTTCTATTAAAGAAACAACGTTTCGGGAACTGGAATCTGTCCCCGTCTTCAGGAAAAACCTACTCAGTTGGGTCCAATAGACAGAGCTAGCCCCTATCTCCGGACAACTATGCCAATTTCCGAAGGGATTCATAAAAGAAGCACAACTTAATCCATCTGTGAGAGCTAAGAGATATTGAAGCTATCATAATTTGAGGCTTAGCACCAGAGAAAAATTTCTAGAATGAAATCATACCGGGAGAGAAGCAATACTCCTTGTGGTATACAAGCACAACAAAATCATCTGTGGGAGCTAAGAAATATTGAAGATATCATAATTTGAGTCTTAGCACCAGAGAAATATCGTGAATGAAATCAATACCGGAAGAGAAGCAATACTCCTTGTGGTACCAACATATGAAACCAAAAGTTACCCAAACCAACTACACTAGATGTCGCTGTAGTCTCTTGATTTCTGCTGGGCCCCTGTCATTACAGCCGCCCATTGTTGTAATCGGCTTGCAAACAATTTTTATGACTGGACATAAACATCGATATTGTCTTTCCCCAATATTGAAAGATTTGGATGTCTGAAAATTCCAGATCATTCATGAATACTTCCATGTTTAAAAATATGCGGCTTGGTAACTGATTTTTTTACATATATTTAGGTGTTCTGTGTCTGAGCTTCTTGACACAAATACTATACTCCTCAGAATATATCCACTATAAAATACGTATTCAGAAAAATGCTTAGAAAATGAAAATGAGAAATTCCAGAAGAGCCTCAAGAGGCCTAGTATAATTGATGCCAGGACACATTACTGGGGGCGCGGCCCGGCGGTTGAGAAGCACTGTCCTAGAATCTCTCTCTTCAGAGATTCACAATTTGGAACTTTCATCGGAATAGACAGACCGCGGCGGATGAGGTTCGAACCCAGCTCAGGTGATGTGGGGTTTGTTGTGGACAATGAAATTTTGTTGTTATAGTATTTTCTATAGTAGTGTTGCTTTTGAGGTGTAGGTAAGTAAAAGAGCTCAGTCTTTAGTAGCTGCAGACGAATCGGTTGACTTTACTGAATTCCAAGATTGCAGTCTAAGAATAAGAAATGAAGGAAGGACACAGATTCCTAGTGATGATTATGAAAGTGACGTCTCGGTTGACGATACTAATGTCACCCTCTCTTGGCCATATCACCTCACATAATTACATAAGTTGCCCTGGGTGCTGACCGTTACACAGTCCACATTCGTGACAAAGCACATGAATTTAGACTTACCCATATTCACCCATATTCTTGGGGTCCCGCTGGAGCTCCAGCTCACGAAATTCCCATTTAAGGTCCAGGGGATGGTTCATCTCCCTCCCCAAAATTAGGGAAGCCGGAGTCGCTCCCGTCGATTCGTGCCACAGTGTTAAAGGTAATGGCCAACGAGGGCAGATTTTCATCCCAACGAATGTGTTGACGGTGGTGATAAATGATCAGGGAGGCCTTCAAATTCCGATTAAACCGCTCAACATGGGAAGCTTGAGGGTAATAAGGTGAAGTCGTGATGTGGCGAATGCCCCAAGAGAAGCACAGATTGTAGAAACGCCGCGACTTGAAGACAGCAGCATTGTCGGAAACGATAGCCTGGGGGACGCCGAACGCGGGGAAGATTTTCTCCACGAGGCAGATTTCGACTACTTGGGACGAAATTTTCCTCACTGGATACATAGACACAAACTTAGAAAACCCGTCTAACACCATCAATATGGGTACGTCCTCCCTCCGACTCCTGACAATCCGCCCAAGAAAATCAATAAAAATCCGTTCTAGGGGCCTCGTCACAAATTCGCTGCTATGGAGACCCACCCTAGAATCTTGGGCTGGCTTGGCCCTCTGACAGTCCTGACAGACCCTTACGAACTTGCAGATTTCCGACCTCTTACTCGGCCAATAAAAGACCTTCGCGATCCGGCTAAGCGTTTTGTTTACCCCCAAATGCGCACTCAGCGTAGACCCGTGGAAATACTCAAGCACCATGGGCCTGAGTGCCTCCAGAAGGACGTAGAGCTTAGCGCTGGCCGAGGAGGATGATACACAAGAGCCCCGTTTAATAACTTGAATTGCTTAGCCAGAGTCTTTCCGGGCAACTTTCGCCTATATGTCCTTACAAAAGGATTCCTCCTTTTGATATTCGCAGACTGATCGGAACGCCTCAGGCAGATGTTGTAAGACCAAACCCGTAAACGTAGGGTCACTCGGGAGGTCTTCGTACTGTCGGGTAAGGCAGTCGGCCACCACATTAGATTTTCCACTGACGTGACAGACTTGGAATTTGAAAGGCGCCAGACGCAACGCCCACCGCCCTATACGGCCCAATTTTTAGCGTGCCGTAGAAGCCAGGCTAGAACTTGGTTGTCCGTTTGTAGACAAAACTCTTTGCGTTCCAAGTATGTCCGGTATTTTTCGCATCCCCAGACCACCGCGAGGCACTCCTTCTCGTGGTTGGAATATCTCCTCTCGGCCGGGGAAGACAAACGGCTACCGTAGGCGATCGGAGCTAATCCTTCCCCTTGCCTTTGATTTAGGACAGCAGAGACCGCGACGTCACTGGCGTCGCAGACGAGAGTAAATTCATGAGAAAAATCCGGAATCTGTAATACTGGGGGCGTCGACAAGGCTTCCTTAAGCCGTTCGAAGACCGACTGTTGAGCCTCGCCCCAGACGAACTTGGCGTTCTTGCGCTTCAGCGCATGGAGTGGTTCCGCAATCGACGAGAAATGTTCGATAAAACGTCCATAGAACCCTGTCATTCCCATAAAACTCTGAACCCCCTTCAAGTTCCGGAGGGTCGGAGAATTATGAATGGCTTCCCCCGCTCAGGCAAGATCTAAACCCCTTGGTTCGACACCAAATGCCCCAGGAAGAAAATCTCTCTTTGGGCCAGCCGAAGCTTATACGGGTTTAAGGTGAACCCGGCCATTTCTAGTCTCTTAAATAAACTCCGTCCAGCTGCCCCTACCGGAAATTAAATGGCCCGTCCGATAAAGGTTAAACACCTCCGCCAAGTGCCCGAAATGCTCGGCCAGCGAGCTAGAGTATTCGACCAGGTCATCCATAAAATTAGTCACGAATTTTTGTTTGAGGTCCCCAAACAGCGTGTCGATCACACTCGATAGTACCTGGCACCCCACGCCTATCACCATGGGCAACTTATTAAATTCAAAGAGACCGAATGGGGTACAAAAGGCCGTAGACTTCCGGCTCTTAGCCGTCAGGGGGATTTGGTAATACGCTGAGTTAAGGTCGAGCACCGAAAATACTTCCGCATTGTGAAAATCAGCGAAGGCGTGCTCGACCATCGGCATAGGGAAGGCGTCGAAAACTACCTTTCTGTTTAACAGGCGATAGCCTACTACCATCCTACAATCACCGTGGGGTTTGGGCACTAGAAACGCCGGGCTAGCGTACTGAGAGGAGCTCTTCCTTATCACGCCTTTATCTAGCAGGTCTTGGACTATACCCCTTAATATTTTCAAACGGGGAGGCGAACACTGGTACGGCCGCGACCGCACCAGAACGTTATCCGTCAACTCCAGGCGACACACCGTGCCCTTAGCAGTCCCCAGTTTATCCGAAAAGAGGGCAGGAAAGTTCCGCATCAACTAGTTAATTTTGGAGGAGTTATGCGGCACTTCCGGCACGCAGGGACACGCGAAACTACTGACCCAATTTTCGGCACAAGGAAACACTTTTAAGGGGCTCCTGCAAGAGTCTAGCGATTTGAATTCGAATCCTTTTTCCGGACGAAAAGCGAAACTATATGTCCCGGTCGCGAAATTCATTCGCACCTGGGTCCGCCCCAGAAAGTCGACACCCAAAACGCAAGGGACCGGACACTGTTCAAAAATCAAGAATCTAACTTTCCAAGCAAGGCAGTGTAATTTGACCGGCAGAATGACCGCCTCCTTAATATTACAGGGTTCTCCAATAGCCGCCTGGCTATAAGGGTGTTCCTTATGTTAAAGTATGCCGATATAACCCAAAACATCTATGTCCAAAGTTGAACGGTTACGGAGATAATGGCCAGAGAATGTCAAATTTTGACCGGTGTTACACACTTGCTGATTATAAAATACATATTAAAACTGGCAGGAATATGTGGATTCTATAATGTTCATAATGTACGTAACATCAAACTAACTTGTGAGTGACGTGAAGCCATAAAATTGAAGTACAAAATACTCGCTCGCCATGTCATAATTGCCTTTAGGGATTCTAAGCACTAAACATGACACATGACTGGCAAGCGCTGACGTAACATGGCTGACTGCCCTATAAGCCGACCACATAACTGTATTAAACGTACATTCACAGAAAATCTCTTTTGGAATTTCGTTTCCATTATCTCATATGGATTATTATGGGACCACGTATGCACATTTCGTAAATTATTTACACCGTCCAGGTTAAAAGACGCCTCATCACTATATATGACACATGAATTGCAAGCGCCGGCGTAACATGACTGACTGTGCATTCTGTTATAAACCAACTACATAATTACTAAAATATGGTACCCGCTTTATAGTAATTGTTCAAAGTGTCCTACGCCAGCTGCAATGCAGTTTTCGGCACACATCATGAGGGATTGGGTAGCAGAAGCAATGTTGCCTGAGTTGTGACGTATGTGCTCTGCCGCAGCAAAAATACGATTCCGCAGTGTTTCTCATTTGTACACCCTCCATTTCCGATTGCACAGAAACACTCCGAAGAGAACCAGTCTCACGCAATATCTGGTGAATTCGCGTAAATACACGTCGAGATAGAATCCTTCGATCAGGAAAACGCCTTTGGTATATTTCAACAGCAGCACATGCATTGCCACCGCAAAATCCATACACAAAATGCATATCACAAAATTCAACGTGTGAAAACACAAAAGGCATTTCAGCAACACCTCACAACTACACGTAATTTACCAACCATTCACGACGCTGCCGCAACGTACTCTGTAGGCTCTGTAGGTAGCGCATAAGCTTACTGCTAGTGAGAATCAGACACTTAAGGACAAACAGATAAGAGGACTCAGCTGCCAGGTATAGTGCGTGGACCCGCCAGAGGAGCACACTTTTCTTGGGCCATTATCTCCGTAACCGTTCAAATTTGGACATAGGAGTTCTNTGGATTTTGCGGTGGCAATGAACGTGCTGCTGTTGAAGAATACCAAAGGCTTTTCCCGATCGAAGGATTCCCTGTCGAAGTGTNTCCGTTAAGTTCCTTGGAGTCCCCATCCCAAAAAACGCCAGGATGCGAGCCGTTCCCTTCTTTCCAACTGACGTCTTTGACTGACGTCAGGTCAGCTGTCCTTTTCCCTCCCCCCCTGGACGTTTCCCGAGGCTTCTTGGTTAGCCTAAGTGAAGCTAACTTTCTCTCTTCCCATAGACATTCGTCTGAAAGCATCGCTACATTTGAATTCGTTTTCGAGAAAGTTGAATTGATTGTTTCAAATTCTGTTTAGGCAGGTAGCACAGATCGAAGGGGGAAGAGTGCCATCACGATCTGGTCGAGGGTATATCTGCCGTGAGATAAATCTTTGAGTTCTGTATGGCCAAAATACAAGTAAGTGACTTACCGAAGTGGTGTATAACGGAAGGTTTATTTTTGGTTTGATTATAGACGCCGTGTGGCATAGCGTAATTTTGGTTTTGTAAAGGTTGTGATAAACAGTAGATCGCCCTTCAGGCGTTTTCATTAGTATATTCAAGTTGTCTATATTTCCTTGTGTTACGAAGGCTTCATCGTGTACATGCTGTACTGGGGGAAGTTTAGAATACGCCATGAGGCGTGGCCTAGTTAAGTTGCTGTGCTGTTGGCGCAGCGTAATTCAGCATCAATTAGATATCATATGTTTAACCAGTCACTGCGCTTCAGGCTGGGTCCATTTGTATACTTATCTTATCAATATTGTGACATGTTGAGCTATGGATGACGCCCCTCCCACCTGCCAGCCGTGATGCGCCGAGCGAAGCCGAAGTGAGCCGAAGTTAGCCGAGTCCTAGCATCCTGGTCGCTATGCAACGCGAGTCAACAGCGATGACGTCACCAAGGTGCACCGCGGTTGCTAGGCAGAGCGGGTAAACAGCATTGCGAGAGACGACGGTAGTAACAGCGGTTACTACCGCTAGCGTTGCTAGCAAC